GAAATAAACCTCATAACCCTAGTTTAACAAAATTTATTACTATTCAAATTAAATAATCATTGAAATTAGTAATAAATATATAGAAATTGAAGCTTTCATACCATTGAGCTTCTCCTTTTAGGAAGGCAAAGTTGTATTGGATTGAAAAGCTTAAGGACTAAAGCACCTAATCAAAAGGCTTTTCCGCTTTACTATGGCGGCAAAAGGAGAAACACTTTGGTAATAGTGCAATACCTGAAGAGGAAGTCTTTAGAGAGTGGATGTAGGTCATATTTGATCAAACCACTATAAATTTTTGTATCTTATAATTTCTGCATTTATTTATTGCAAGTTATTTTCTATAGTTGAAAAGTTTATTTTAAAACCTTAATTAACTTGCTACGGTAATCAATCGGTTATCTATCTAAAAATCCAAGAGTAAGATTTTAAATTAACAATTCACTACCATCTTAGTTAGCCTTGGGACATTAGTTTAGGTTTAACAACCTAATCAAGATTAAACACGAGCAAGCTCCAATAAACCTCCTGGGTTAGAAAATTTAATTCTAATCCAATGCTCCTCCAGTTCTTCTCCTTGAAGGATAAACGTTCCATGGATCCAATCAAAGCTACATGAACTCAGGTCTTAACCATTGGCGCATTATATCAAGTATTCTTCTAATCCCAAGCTCCTAGCTAGGCAGGGTCAGTAAATTGTGAAAGAAATCTCCAATACGTCCAGCCGATCTCTTAGATATTGTTAAAATATGCTCATAAATATGAAATCAAGCGGGAGGTTGAAGACGAAATCATACTCATTCATTCCAATCAATGGCTTCGATTCAATCTCATTTAATTTTGGTGATTTCATTATATTTTAAATTGTATCAAGATCAGATGGCTAGGGTTAATGCCACATGATTTTATTAACACGGCAATGATTGGCTACTAATTAAACAACATCGCGTGTAAAAGCTCGGTTAGTTGCATAATTTAATTTAATAATTTTTAGAAAATATATCTAAATTTAAAAATGTATAACTTCTCACTCAATTTGCCAAATTAAGTGATCTTAGGCTCTATGGATTCATCTTGAGGAGTAGAACAAAAACCCTATGATTGCATTCTTTAATTCTTCATATACTAAAACTAATTTAAAAAATACTCCAAGGTTCATTTCTTAAATTTCTCTTTAAATACATTTTACCTTGAGGTGAAATTGACATGGATAATTTTATAGCATGTGTTTTACATACCTAAAAATTTTAATGTCAATTGGAAACCTCTAAGGACTTCAATTGATCATCTCAAGTTCATAGGTTAATTTTTAACATATGACTTAGGAATTCCATACATATGAATTTAATAGAAATTATGTTCTATGCTTTAGAGTGTTAATTCTTCTCTATGTATAGTTTAGAATATCATTGATTGCAACCCAATGTCATGATTTCCTAAATTAAATCCCTAAAGGTATTGGTGTATTTACCTTAGGGGATTCATTTTGAATCCTAGGAAGGCTATGATGAATCCAAATTTAGTGAGTTTGAATCACATATTCATATGAACTTGTGTTTCAAATTTTATTACATTTAGAGTTCATTTGGTCTATCAATTAGTGAACCCAAATTTGAACTATATAATTGACCTGAGATTTTTATTAATTCAAATAAAATCTTACAAATATAATCTAAAGTGTTATCTACTTAGAAATAAAGGCTTAATTGAAAAAAATTAAATAACACTTGAAATTTATTCAAATTAAAAATAATTTGAAAATAAAAAATTGATTAATTATTTAAATTAAATAATTAAAATTAATTAAAATTCTAAAATAATTTTAAACACTTGTAATCATCCTTAGGAGTCATTAGTGACATTTGGAGAATATTTCAAGAACTTTGGAATTGATTTGATATATAAAAAAAAAGAAATACATAATTACTTTGAATTATTTAATTAATTAAAATGTGCTGAACTTATTAAAATCATAAATAATTATAGAAAAATCTAATCGACACAAACTCAATAGAATTGGACTCATAATGATGTCTAGTATTTATGAAAAATATAAAAAAAAATAATAATTCTATGTAAATCAGAAATTTAAAATTTGATCAAATTTAAATCATAAAAAATGGTTGAAATTGTAAAAATAATAACTAATTATAGAAAAATTCAATTAACACAAAATCAAAGGCATTGAACTCATAATTGGGTATAGTATTTATGAAAAAATATAAAACTTACATAACTTAATGTAAATAAAAATGTCAATAATTGGTGAAACCTAATTCATTAAATTATTCAATAAATTTGAAAAATCAATAAATCACCAAAAACTCTATAAATCAATAACTAAATGAATTAAATCATATAAACAATAATAATGAATAATCACTCTGTCAATAAATTTTTTAGGCTAAAATACCTCGATATGTGGGGTTATGTGTCCTAATTAAGCTTTGGTCCTTATGCTCATTGTGATAATGCAACCAATGAATTGACGGAATATAAATATTAAATTATAAATCGTTTAAATCTGTAATTAAATTAATTAAATTAATTAAATTAATTAAAAATCAACAAACGAACTTAAATAAAAAAGATAATTGCTAGATAACCTAGGCTTACGAGGTTATTGATTTAACCCCAAGTTGAATGAAATAAACCTCATAACCCTAGTTTAACAAAATTTATTACTATTCAAATTAAATAATCATTGAAATTAGTAATAAATATATAGAAATTGAAGCTTTCATACCATTGAGCTTCTCCTTTTAGGAAGGCAAAGTTGTATTGGATTGAAAAGCTTAAGGACTAAATCACCTAATCAAAATGCAAGGACTCTATGCAACCTATCTAACCAAGTTTGGAGGATTGGTAGCATTACAAATATTAGCCTAGGAATTGCTAATCAGTGACTTCATGCACTTGGAACTCATTTAGTGCTATGTTCTTTAAAACCTAAACAAAATATCTTTAACACTTAAAAGCCACCTTTAAAAGAAACAAAAATTTTCTAAAACATTAAAACTTAAATTCAAACTAACCTTCAATGACCTTAAGCAAACAAACTCAATTGTAGATAATTTCAAACTAATAAAACCTATGATCTATCCAAGCCACATAGCCTTATACACGCACTAGAACTTGTTTGCTAAGACAACCAACTTGAGCATTGGCAATGCAGGTGGTTTGGTTTGGTTTGTTTGGAGTGCCTTGCCTAGAAAGTTATCTTGTTTGGATTATTTACTTTATGTTCTCTCAAATTTTTATTTATATTTTTGTTGGTGCACATTTAGATTAAGCTCTTAGTCAGCATTACATTTCAATAACACACACATCATTACATACGTATATTTTTTATTATATATTGCTCTTATTGTATTCCTGCAATGTATAGGCAATGATGTAAATGTAAATATTTTATATATTTGTACAGTTAGATTGAGTTGTAAAATGTCAACAATTATAAAAGATTTGAAAATGGTTATTTATATAAGAATATATAAGTTCCAAAAGAAAATGGTTACTCTTTGATTGAGGACCATTATATTTTGTAATTTTATAGAAGATGAAGAAGCCAGAAGATTGAAGGAAAAATAAACAATCATATTTAAATCTATATTATAAAGGAATATAAATTAAGGCTTGTTGTTAGTAGTCAGGCCACCTTTACTTTATAATACTCTGAGAAATTATTAATGAATAAAAGCTTTTTATTTATATATTATTCATGCATCATTTCATTACATGATCATGTGCATATTATAAGTCCTTATTAAAAATATTTAAATTATAATTCTTTGACTACTAGTATAAAGTCATCTAATCTTACATTCATATGATGATTGATTTTTTAGCTGACAACTCACTATAGACATGTGTAAGTCCAAATTGTATACACCCTTCCGTCTCTGCACATTCCATTATTTCTATGTCATTCGAAAATTCCAAATCTAAATCTATACTCTAAATTTCAAGTATGATTTATAATATATAGCATGTGTACTAAAATCTTTATAGCCAAAGTCTTTCTTTAAATCTATATGAATTTGAACATCTTTAGTGTTCACTTTCATCAAGAGTATTTCTCTTTGAAAATATAATTAATATAGGAGCTTGCTCTTATAATAAGTCTAAAGCATATAATTCATATAAACCCTATCTTAGATCATTTTTAAGATAAGAGAAAAATTTATGGACACAGACTTAACTTTAAATATTGATTTCATTTCATGATAAAATATAATAAGTGAATATTCCTTTTATCATTATGGATGAGTTAAATATTTCTTATTCTGCTGGATTATGAAAATAAATATATTTATTTAAATTCTTAATCAAAACAAAAAGTAAATATTCTTTTTATTAAATGTTGGAACCTCACTTAAAAAGAAATGAGAGTATTTATAAGCATTTCCTGCCTGAACAAAACTAGGATTCCGACTAGGTCCGGCCACATCAAACCGCAAAGTTTGTTTTGGACATTCCAACAGGCTCATGGCAACTCACCCGGAAAATTACAGCACATGTGGGCAGCTACTGAGAGAGTTAGAGCTGAATCAGTGCTTGCACATGGCTGTTTCTTGGGGTTCAGGACACCACTTGGCCTGAGCTGATTTTGATCCAACAATAAAACTTGATAGCAAACTTAACCATAAAACTTGTTAACAATTTTATTCTTGTGATTTTTTCTCTACATAACATCTTGCACAACCCTAAAACAATCCCACACATCCTCTAATGGCTGCCTGCCCCAATCCTTCTTCCTCTATAACACTACAACTCTGTAAACCTATAACAACACCTCTCCTGCTCAGCCACCCTCAAACTCCACTTAGCAGGGCCCTCTTCTACTCCACTAGACAACCAAAATATTCTCCAAATCTTACAAGGTCTAGGCTAACACCCCAAAGGCCGCAAAATAAATATCATCTAATCTAGCTGTACCCCAAGTCTTTTCTCAGATCTTCATCACAAGCAAAAAGATATTACGACCACCATCCATCAACCTATTTGTTTATAAAGCCATAACGATCACAAAATTTATAAATGTGTATACGAGCAGAGAGAGAGAGTAAGAGAGATGGCAGCACGTAGAAGGCATTATTTAGCAAGATCGTTAGAAATGTAGTAATTTAGCAAGAGAAAAACAGTAACTCTTTCCTCAGAAAAATACAAACAAAGAAAAAAAAAAGAAAAAAAACTACCACTGCCTCTTCCCCTTTCTCTTCTTCTTGCTACTGCTCTTCAAATCGCAGCTGCTACTTGAAGGACCCTCTTTGTGGGTGAAGTCAGGCTCAAATCTGCCAGAATTCATAGCATTCTGCAACCACTCGTACAAATCTTCCTCAGTCATGCTGCCGGCCATGTTGGGTGATGGCATGCTTCCACTTTCTCTATGTGATGAGCCAGACGCTTTGGAATTGCCATTGTATTTTGAATTTAAGCTAATGTTCACATGGAAGCTAGGCTTGTGTGTGTTTGCCGGAGCTTTTATTCCCTGGCACAAAAAGGCATACAAATCAAATGTTTATTGGGATTACAAAACGAAGACTTACCAAACGGATTAAAAAAAACCTATTCAACACTATGCAGATTATAAAGCAAATGGCACACATTGCACAAAATAATCAGGAAAGCCAGCAAGTTCATAAGGTAAGAGGGCATTTTATGCACATGAAGGCTTTGAAGCCTTTCTAGATATTACTTTTGGTTGGCACTTTGGTTGCACCATCTATTATTTGTTATCTACAAACTTGCCGGAATTCTAGAAAGGAAGCTTTCCATTACTAGCCATTGCATATGAAAAAATACATTATATATCTGATCCCTAAGCAGAGTTGAATTCTTTAGGGTCAAATGATAACTTATTTTCTCAAACAGTCATTGTTATGCAATCATATAACGATTCATTGTTAAAATTGACTTATATAAAAACCTAAAAGGAGTGGGAGTGCAGGTACCTTATTGGTTACCGTAACTTCAAAATAGGAACATCGCTTCATATTTTTAACTGAGCAATGCCAACTAAAGGCATGGCCGGTTTAGTTTCAATTCAGTAAGGACCAAATACATCTTCAGCATTCCTAGTACAACTTAAGAATACGCATGAGAAAACGGGTATAGCTATCACAGTTGAACAATGAATTCAAGCATTGGATATCCTGAAAACAGTGTATTACTTATTCTTTTTGTAAAGAAAAAAGATAATTGAATTAAGCATACAAATTAAGCCCATAATATAATTTGAAATTTAACATTTTCAATGATACCATAGATTAAAAAGAAATAGGTGCGCTAGCTATAGGTCAAAAACAGCTCAGGTACCTTCATTTCGAAACTCCCAATATCCACAAATTCATTCAGAAAATAAAAATGCTATTATGGACTAAACCAAGTGAACACTAACACAAGCTATATCACTACAAATTTAGCAAATGCAATTTAAAAAGCTAAGACTATCTAAAAACGTTATAATAATTAATATGCCTGGGAAAATTAATGGTACTCGCCAATTCATATAATTTGATTTATTTTGCATGCAAATACCAAAAAATTTTATATTTTGTTTTGTTAGTCAAATAATCTGCTCAATTTGTCCGTATTAACCAGAGCATCTGCTTCGGAAAAAAAACCTAGGTCACCAAATTTTCTCTGAAAATCAACAATATACTCAGATTTCATCATGATCAACTATAAAAAAAATAAAATAAACTTGTCTTAGTTTAGCAGATTTCTATAGACAATTATAATATATATTATATACCAGTAATATGATTATTATAGATTAGTATCAAATATCCATTTAAAGAATTCTATTACTTTTTTTATTTTTGTTTTTAAGTTTTCCATAGTTTTCTTTTCTATTATAATTTAATATATGATATGGTTATGATCTTTATGGGGATATTTATACGATAAACCAAAATAATAGACAAGGATTGGTTGGCTCTCATTAATCTTTGGTCAAATTGTTTGTGCTATAACGATGGCAAAATGTTTTGAGTTAATTCGTTTAGAAGTGCCAAACAAAATTAACTAATTAATGCCGGAGGATGGCAAAAAGTTTTGAGTTAATTCGTTTAAAAGTGCCAAACAAACTTAACTAATTAATTCCTGAGGAACCAGCCGTTAACTTGAACATAGTGGGCTGCGGAAAAAATAAGTTATATAACTTATAAATTTTTTGTGTAGCTAAAAATATTTTTAAAGTTAATCCGATGATTATTAGATTTAAATGAGAATTTGACTTTTAATAGAACACAATGGAGAAAAAAGATTCATGTAGCCAACCCCACGTAGTGGGATAAAGGTTTGTTGTTGTTGTTGAAAAAATATTTTTAAAGAATATAAAATAAAAATCATCGCATTAAATCATATAAGGAAAAATAAAGAATTTTCAAATTTCATTGTACCCTTCTTCCTTCAATAGTTAATCCTCAAGACATGGAATTTATATTTTATATATATATCACTTCAAAGAAATTCCTATCCTAACCGTGTTTCGTAGAAAACAGTTACAAAAACTTGCAAATTTTTTTTAATTAGGTTAACTTAATTTTTTAGCGTGCATAGCCTAGGAATAATCTATTCATCATTACCATGTATTCCAACTTCTCTATCATCCATGCTATATTTATATCAGTGATTTTGTATTCTATATTTTAAACACCATCTTTTTTAGATTTGCTATCAAACTTTCGTTGCTGCAGCTATATCTAATCAACTTATTTATAATGGCACAAGCTCGTTTCCCACCTCTTGATGTTCAATTCATACATCTTTATATTCATAATAAACGTGGGGCCATTGTATGAATTCTTTTTCTCTATTGTGTCCTTGTAAGAGTCAAATTCTCATTTAAATCTAATAAAGAAAGGTTATTTCTAATATTTTCGAACCAACTCTTTTCAGATCTACCTCTAGATTTATTAACATGAGAAAATCTAATAGATGTACTTTGCTTAACCAGGTTATTGGAATTCCTCCTTTTTATGTGACCAAACCATCTAAGACGACTCACTCTAATCTCATCTTCCACTGGAGCTACTCAAGCCAAATCTAATACTTCTACTCTCCTAATATGCTCATTTCTGCAACACTTAACTTAATATTATGTTTCTCTTTTAATGGCAAACATTCTGCACCATAAAGCATTGCAGGTCTCACCACCATCTTATAAAATTTTCCCTTAAGCTTGAGGAGAACTTTTCTATTACATAACAAGCCCAATGCATTACTCTACTTTAACCATTCAACTTGAATTCTACTCATAATAACCCCATCTGTTTCACCATCACTCTGAAAAATAGACCCAAGATATCTTAAACATGTACTCTTATTAATGACTTGATTGCCCAAAAAGTCAAAATTACTCCACTAGATCTATTACTACTAAAATTACATTACATATATTTAGTTTTAGATATACTCAAACGAAAGCCTTCAGACTTAAACGTTGACCTCCATAATTCAAGTTTACCTTCAATTCCCCCTCAAGTCTTATTAAAAAGAAGAATTAATCAACAAAAAACATCCACCATAGTACAACCTCTTGCAAATGACTAGTGAGAACATTTATGATTAAAGCAAAAGGATAAGGGCTTAAAGCTAATCCTTGATGTAATCCAACTAAAATAGAAAAATACTTGTTAAACCACCTTGTGTTTGAACACAAGTAACAGCTCATACATGAATATCCTTAATGACTTGAATATAAGCATTATTAACCCCTTTCTTTTCTAGCACTCTTCATAACACTTCTCTTGGAACTTTATCACATGATTTCTCTAAATCAATAAATATTATATGTAGATCCTCCTTACTCTCTCTATACTTTTCCATCAAACTTCACAATAAATGTATAGCTTCCATAGTAAACCTATCCAGCATAAATCCAAATTAATTTTTAGAAATATTAATATCAAGCCACAACCTATGCTCCATAACTCTCTCCCATAATGAAACATTAACTTAATTCCTCTATAATTCGCACAATCTTGTGCATCACCTTTATTCATAAAAATAGAAATCAACATATTCATTCTCCACTCATTTGGCATCTTTTAAGTCTTCAAAATAATATTAAAAAGTTTAGTAAGCTAAAACATTCCATCATCCCCTCAGCATCTCCACACCTTTATTGGAATATCATCAGGTCCAACAGCTTTTTTACACTTCACTTTTTTAGAGCATCTTTAACTTCAGTTTTACTAATACGCCGATAAAAATAAAAAAAGTTTATTTTCATTTAGAGTGTAATGTCACTAAATTCAATCGTATTCTCATAATCTTTATTGAAAAGATTAACAAAATATCTCATCCACCTTTGTTTAATATCCTCTTCTAATAAAAGAACTTTTTTTATTTTCATTTTTAATGCACTTCACTTGAACTAAATCCTTACTACTTCTATCCCTTTGTTTGACTAACTTATACATATATCTTTTGCCCTCCTTAGTATCTATTTTATTATATAAATCATTAAAAACTAAAATTTTTATATCACATATTGCTTTCTTAGTCTCCTTGCAGACCCTTTATATTTTTTCCAATTATCAAAATTTTTATATATAAACTAATTTTTTATAATAAATCTTTTAATTTTTTATCTTTTCTTATATATTTTGATTTCACCACCAACTGCTTTTACTATTAAGATATTTTCCCTTTGATACTCTAAGCATATTTTTTGCAATACTTAATACGATTAGCTACTTTTTCCCACATAATATTAACTTTATCATGCATAGATAAAACCTTAACATCTAGAATCTTACTCCTAAAAATATTTTTTTTAATATTCATTATATGTCCCCCATCTAATCCTAAGATAATGTTTTACTTTTTTATTTTTCGCTCATTCATCTTAAAGTCAAAAACTAATAAGCGCAGTTGGATACATAAACTTTCACTCGAAATAACCTTACAATCGTTGCCTTCAAAACGATCTAATTTTTATTAAAAGGAAAAAAATATGAGTTTTAGTTTATCCATTTTTATAGCAATTACAAAATCATTAACTAATGAAAAATCTAATATGATCTTCCCACCTTCATTAGTTTCTTCAAACCCACAGCCACCATGAATGATTTTAAAATCATCTACCTCTCTACGAACATGTTCATTAAAATCTCCTCCAATAAAAACTCTTTCTTCAAGATGTATTTTTTGTATTAATTTTTCTAAGTCATTCCCAAAATTTAATTTTGAATATATATCAAAATCTACTAGAGAAGCATAAACATTTATAATATTAATAATCATATCATCGACAATAATATTCAAAGCTACAATTTTATCTCAAATTCTATTAATTTTTACAAAATTATCCTTCCAATTTTTATCTATAATGACACCTACACCATTTCTAGTATGACTCTTACAGAATACTATAGTTTAAATCTGAATCTATCAATATCAATAGCCTTCTGTTCAACCCATTTATTTTCTTGAATGCATAGAATATTTATTTTCCTATTAATCATAATATATATTAAT